TAAAAGGAGTTATTATTTATTTCTTATTTTCTTAAATTAATTACTTAAGGTCTTTTATATTAATATAACCTAAGACCCTTAATCCTATAATTATACTAATAAGAGGTATAATTATTTATCTCTCTTATTATAACCTTATTAAATTATCTTTATTAACTTATTATAAAGCTATTAGCTATTATATAATAGAGGTATTTCTATTAGATTTATTTATCTTAATAATATATTAATCTTTTACATAAATAAAAATTAAAGAATTATAAAGGTATAGGCTTAATAAATATAATTAGGATAATATTAAAGATAAAAGGGTAGGTTTAATATATTAATATAATTTTAACTTATTAAAGCCTTTATAAGCCCTTTAGTAAAAAGAGTTTTATATAGCCTAGCCCTTCTATTAGGCTAAGGTTTTACTAGTCTACTAGCGATAGCTAATATAACCTAAATACTCTTATATAAAGTTAGGCTTAATAGCTTAAAATATAGCTTAATTTTATATAATTAATTATATTAAATAGCTTAATAATTCTTTTTTTAGCTATATTTTTATAATTATTAATAATTCTATATATTTTTTTATAATTTATTTTTAAATTTAAATAATAATTTTAAGCTAAGTTAATTTTAATTTTTCTTTATATAATAAGTCCCTTAGGCTAATATCTTATAAATAGCTTTTTTATTAATAATATTATTAAATATATTTAATAATCTTTTTTTATATAGAGAGGTTAAGATATTATTATAGCTATTTATATTATCTTTAGGTCTTAATAAGGCTAGCCCTTAGTAGGCTTAAGGCGCCTTAGGGGCTATAATAATAAGGCTATTATTAGCTCTTTAAGCTTAATTATAATTAAATAAATTATAATAAATATAACCTTTTTTAGACTTAGCTTATTAAAGTAGCTTAAAGCTAAGGGCTATAATAAAATAATAAGCTTTTTAGATAATATAGGCTTTTAGCTTAAATAGCTTATAAAATAATTAGCTATAATATAAATTATAATTAATTCTTAGTCTTAGGGTTAGGCTTTAGCTTTAAAATAGCCTAAGGGATAAGCTTTTATTAAGATTATAATTAGAAAAAATATAAGCTTTAATAAAGAATTAACTTAGATTTAAGTAAAGATATTTAAATTAATAAAAAGAAAATAATATATAAGGTTTAATTTTACCCCTAAGATAAGAAATTCTTATTAAGCTCTAAGGTAAAGAAAAAAAATTAATAATAAAATTAATTTTATTATAATAAAAATATAAAAGAGAATTTAATAAGATTAATATGAATAAAGGATTATTATAAAATAAAAAGAAATATTAAATAAAAGTTTAAGCTAAAGGGCTTATTAAGTTAAAAAATTAATAAAATTTAAGAAAGAATTTAAATAAATTAAATAAAAAGTTATAAATAAATTTTAATAAGAGTTTATCTTTAATAAGCTTTTATAACTCTTTAGTAATATTTATAGATTTAATCTTAGGCCTAAGCTTAATAAGTAATAAGAGAAGGAGCTATAGTAATAAATAGAATAGAGATTTAGAGATAGATATTTTTTAAGAATTTTTTAAAGAAAATAAAAAATAAAAAATAAAAAAAGAGAAAGATTCTTAAGAGATTTTAAAGATAGATTTAAGGTTAAAGGTAATAAAGGGGTTATAATATTAATAGGGAGGGTATAATATTAATAAGGCTACCTAAGGGCTCTAATTGGCTTATAATAGAAATTAATAAGAAAAGTATAGAAATATAATAGAAATTAATAAGAAAAATATAAAATTAATATTATACCCCCCTTATTAAGTAACCTTCTAAAGCTTATTATAAGTTAGCCTTAATTATAAAATAATAAAATTATATATTTTTATAAACTTAAGAAAAAGGACTATTTAATAATATAGGTTATATCCCATATATTATAAAGTTAGTTTTTCTAGAATTTTTTAAAAGTATTTTTCTAAAGTAAGGAAAATTTTCTCTAAGACCTTTAGACCTAGGCTAACCCTAACCCTATATAGACCACTAATAAGCCCCCTTTAGTAACCCCGCGGGGTATATTAAGCATAGAGGGTAGAAATAAGTTAGTATTAATATAATTAATAGTATAATAGCATAGGTATTTATAGCTATATAAAAGAAAAATAAAAAGAGGAGAGAGTTAATATGCTTATAGTATGCTACCTATAAGGGAAATATTATACGCAAAACATTAACAAATGTTATCTCGAGCCCCTTACATGGAGACCTGTTGCAGGATGCTCTGGGAATCCTACGCTTTCCACCCAGCGGCAGAAATTTAATACATAACCATGTTGCGCAGTGGACAGCCAAGGCATTCCCAGATCCCTTCGCAGGATCCTCCTACGGCCACGATACCCTCTCAAAGCTTCATTGCATCTTCTCACGAATCATCCTTTTCATTGAGGACTACGTTTCAAAGGCCACAGACCCATACCCACCTCGAGCGTACCTTGCGCTGCCCAATATATCGGGTGGCGACAGGCTATTTAAGGGTAAGACTGTGGGTATCAAGCCCGTCTCTTTTAGTTCCCTAATGGCCTCTGAAAAGCGTCGCTTCGTCGGAGCCTTTCTGAAGCATGAGATGATATGCAAGGTATATAACCCACAAGTCTGGAGCATGTTGAAAGACACTCACTACGCTACTTTGCTTGCAGAAGAAGAAAAGAAGCTACTTTTCACAGAGCTCAAGGAGCTGTACTGTGTTCATGAGTACATGAAAGCTGCTTACGGGGCGATATTCGCACATTGTCAAGATTCTTGGCTCCCAGATCGACCCGCCGTCTCCGCTTCAGAGGTATCTAATCCTCAAGGATTATTGGCTCCTACTAAGTATGGACTGCTCTATCCTGATACGGTATATTTCAATCCGGCCGCTTACTTCGAAGCTATCAATGACACACGATTTGATCGACTGCCAAATCTTCTTCCCTACTTTGGACTGGACCTTCTCACAAAGATACTCTTATCATTCAAGGCAGGTGATGGAGATGGCCAATTTTGCCAGTACCTAAAGGCATGGTTGTTTTCTTTCAGGACAGAAATTCGCTTCTCCTCCGAGCCTTGCTCTTGGGACATGGGCGAACACTTCTTCTCACGACACGAGGAGTCGGTTTCTCATGACTCAGCCATATTCTTTCGGGGGCTACATTAAGAATCATGCCGAAAACGTACCGCAACTCTTCAGCAGTATAATGGATTCCACTGGCTCATCAGGTATGAAAGGGATCCGTGGGTACGCCAGCAACTTCAGCACCAGCTTCAGCTCGTGATATACCGCCAACGAGCTTTAGACCTTTTCGATAATACTAGATTATATCCTGATATAGCAGAGCACCTCCCGACCATGGATGATCTGGATGAACAACGCCGAGCTGCAAGCGAGGTAATGACTCCATCCTATGAACGCCCCCGACGAAGATCCAAAAAATGGCAGGATTGGTATTCGGGGCGAAGTTTGGAGAGTCCACTGGAGCAGGAAGCAGTAGAATGGGGTAGGGAAATAGAGCTGGTGCCCTATAACGCTGATTCTCTTGGACGTTTCTTTGAAAAGCAAACCCATGGCAAGATCGCCACATTTTGGCGACGGGAGGGGGATAAGAACTGAGTTATTACTCTGGAGTATACATATGTGTGTTCTGTAAAGCACCCTAAAATGCCACTGTACTCAACTAATGCCCTTCATTGAATGTGTAAATGAAAAGCTCAATTTTCTAAACTTCCTGATGGTTGTCGGCTCTGGCATTACAGAACCTCGGCTTGATCAGCTCTCACAGATCCTTTCCAATGGGACCGGAATCCTTCTCACGAACAAAGTCAGGCTTGGTAATGACATTGTTGTCCGCATTCTTGATCCTTGCCAAGAACTTCTTTGCGTTTTCCGGGTCCTCTGCGAACAAGGTATCGGCAACTTGCTTCTGGGGAGTCTCACCAAGCCACTTGAACAAGGAGATGTCCCTGAACTCGTCGGCACGGAAGATCTCCAGCATCTCAACAGGCTCGTCACCAATGTTTTCGACGAAATGGCCCATGTTGCGGGGCACGATGCCGACATCTCCGGGACCGTAGTCAAAGGTTCTAGCAGTACCCTCAGATGCAAAGATGGTCACTCTGGCGCGACCCTTGAGGAAGAAGGACCACTCATCAGCAGACGGGTGCCAGTGCATCTCGCGAATTGCACCAGGTTCGATGACGGCGTGAGCTGCAGCGACTGTCTTGGAGATGGGGAAGTTCTTAGAGTCGGTGATGCGAACTTGGCCACCGCTCGTGATCAAGGGCTTCTGGTCAAGCATTCGGTGGGTAAAGTTGTACTTGGACTTCTTCACCTCTTTGCCTCTGGGAGCTTCGTCCTTGATTGAGCCGGGCTTGCGTCCCTGGAAGATGTACTTTTCCTTCTCGGGAATGTGGGCAAAAACCTCGGGAGCCAAGTTGAAGTTCTTGGCAATGACAGACTTGGGAGTGTGTGCTATAATTGTCAGATTAGTCATTCCAATGCAGAAGACGATTCCACGTACCAAGCCAGTCTGTGAGGACAAAGGTTGATTCCTCAGAGAAGCTCCCGTCGTCAAAGATCAAGAGGAACTCGGTACCATTGGGGCTGAGACCCTGGAGAGAGTGGGGAATACCACTTGGGAAATACTATCGCGGTTGTCAGAATCTGGATGAAAATCATCTCGGCAGGGCTTGCAAGGTTACTTACCCACAAGTCACCCTTCTTCAGGTCGTCGATAAAGTTACCGCCTTCATAATCAAGAGCTGTGACGCGGACTTCACCGTCGAGTACATAGGCCCACTCAGCTTCCTTGTGCCAGTGAAGCTCACGAATCACACCATGATCAAGTCTCATGTTCACACCAGCGAGCTCAACACTTGTCCCGAGCTCCCGGACAGTGGTTTGGCGGGTCCAACCACCCTCCTGCCGCAGGTTAGTCATGCATCTGGAGCCTATCATTCTGCAAAACATACCTCAATGCGAATGTGCGAGTCAGCAAAACTCCAGCGCATATTATCGAGATTTCCATGATCAGTGCTAGGAGGCCTGACAAGATCCGGGTTTTGGCGAGATCGCTCCTTGTTCCACGGTCCCAAAACAGAAGCTCCATCGCCGTTTCGCCATGGGAGAGGATCAAGCTTCTCTCCCACAGAGTCAACGGCATTGTCGTATGGATCTTTGTATCCTGGCGTGAAAGGAAGCCTCTTTCCGCCAGCTACGCCATTATAGCTAGATGGCAGCTTGAGACCCCTGAGGAGCCTCTCACGAGGGCTGTCCTGCACTGGGACTGCAGCGCAGAGGCTCAATAGGAGCGAAGAGCTCAAAAGTGGAGAGTAACGCATTCTCACAAAATTGGAAATAAGAGTAATGTAGAGAAGTCACAATGAGTGTGTTGTCAAGGAGGTGTGATGTCGTAGTGAACACCACCGGATAATTCAAGCACCTTTTTCACTCCTTATCAACAAGAATTGAATTGCTCTTGCTAGGTTCCTTCGGGGCATGTCCATCAACGCCGAGAAAGCGATGCCCGGGGGATTCCCGAACCACATCATCAAAGGCGGAAACGATGCCGTCTTGGGTGCCAGCAAAGATGTGATGACTGCCCAGGCGAGCGAGTGCGGGGAATCGGATGGTCGGCACATGGCGTAATGCTGACGCGAAAGACATGGAGGTTGCGTGGGGTTGCAAGCTGAAGGGGTCGAAGTTCTTGGCTTCACGGATATTCGGAAGGGGATATGCAGGAGATCGAGTGATCATCGGCAACGGCACAGCCTTCGGTCTCAGATCTATTGCCGGGATGCTCTATCACAGGCCTTTCTTTTGAGATCCAAGGTCGCAACGGAGGGCAGAATAACAAGTGAACTGAATGCCCAACCCATCTCTCAGTGGATTAGGTTTCCCCCGCAAAGAGGTGCTAGAGTGAAGCTCAATTAAGCCTAATAAGACGTGCTTTAGCTCTTGGCACTAACAAAGCAGGGCATGCGCCCGCCCCTCTGTTGGCGTCTTGGTACTGTGGTTAGGGGATTATTTCCGAGCCGATCTTGGCCCATCTAAACGTAATCCGGGGCTCCAATAAGCTAATACATATTCGGTATGCGATTCGTTTGGAACAACAAGTCTCCGTGTACTTAATCTGACGCGTCTGGACTTCTCCGCCCGGCATCAACGGCATCGTATTAATCATTTTCAACACTTACAGGTCCCGCTGTCAGATACGGAGACGTTTATTACCCTCATTACGAAATTGAAATCTCTCAATTATTCAACAATAATGGCTCAGCCACAAAATCCGGCGTCATACGGAACCGTTGCAGGTGCTGGGGAGTCCAGGCCTGGCAATGGCATCTTGAATGGAAACGACGAGTCGCAAGCTCTGCTGGGACGAAAACCAAAGTCCAAGTCTTGGTTGCGCAAAAAGCTCGTTGTTGATGCTCGTCGGGACTGGGCCGATGTCATGCTTCTCGGATGCTACATCATCACAGGTATCCTTGATAGCGCTTCCATTTCGACTTGGGGAGCATTTGTTTCCATGCAGACAGGTGAGATAGATCGCTTAATCATGAATTTCTGAATGGTCACTTACAGAGTACAGGGAACACGGTCTATCTTGGTCTAGGCCCAACAGCTGGAACAAACCGATGGAAAAAGTCAGGCTCCTCTATCCTGGCTTTCTGCATTGGGTCGTTCTTCTTTAGCCGCCTTCATCGCATGTTCTCGCCTTCACCAACTCGGAAATGGGTCTTGTGTCTGTCATTCGCTATACAGACACTGTTTGTGGCAGGGGCTGCAGCCATCGTTACTTGGGGACCCAAGGGTGCCGGCCCTGATGATGTCCCCTGGTACGTCATCACCCCCATCGCCTTGGTTGCCTTCCAGAGCTGTGGACAGGCTGTCGCGAGTAGGGCATTGAAGTTCAACGCTCTTACTAGCGTTGTGCTAACAAGCATCTACTGTGACTTGTTCTCTGATGCTGCGCTGTTTGAAAGCGTCTTTGTCAATGCAGAGAGGAACCGGCGGGTTGCAGCACCATCTCTTCTTCTCATTGGTGCCATTATCGGGGGATTGGTCCAAAAGAGCGAATTTGGGACTGCAGGAGCATTGTGGCTTGCAGTTGTCCTCAAATTCATTATCATGTGTGGTTGGGCAGCATGGCCTGCCGAACAGGGGCTGTGATGAGGGTCTATTGGAAGCGGAGGACCCTTCTTGGTAATCCGAGTGCATTAGACGCGGGAGTGTGCCTTTGTCACCCGAACAATATGCCGAATACTATACAAGATTACTCATATTTACTGAATATCATTGTAATATCTCCCCGCACCCGCAAAAGTGATGTTAATCGACTCGAGTTCGAAATACGTACTATTCCAAGATTGGCATCCGTAAGCTGAAACATTGCTACTGCACCACGATCTAAGCCTCTGCATGCAACGCAACCCAATGCAAACTTGGCAATGCGGCCGCTTTTGGATCCTTTCTAGGAAGGTCGGTCAGCGGAAGCATCTTCCCGTTCGCAGGAGCCTGTCGTGGCGTTTTCATTACAACCCTTCATATGCCGGTTAATTTGATGCTTCTAGTCTTGGATAGATAGAGTCTGAGCGCGATCGGCGTCGTGGTTGCTCATGTGGTCGTGATCACCGGAACCTTTGCACATACGACAGATACATCACAGCCTATAGATCAGATCTATCGAATACTCTAATGAATTGACGGGCATATCGAGCTGTTCTCTCGGCCTTCGGCATTGCTACCACGCATCTCAAGGTGAGGATTTCACTCGGTAGAAAAATATGGCCGATTGCAGGAATCACATCGATGCAGCTTGCCGCTATCCAATGAAGAGCACAGTGGTTCGGTCATGGTGGTGTGCGGCCAATGGTCGCGACGAGATGTTGCAACCTGAAGTTTGCCCGTTCTGGATGGCCTCGAGTCTATCACTGTCGTCAGATGACATTGCGTAGGATCTATGTTTGGAAAGAAGATAATGCAAGAGTTTGTGATGGTGTCTTGGGATAGACAGTGTTACAGGAGCAGTGTAGGGCGTCTCATATAATAATATCGTTCTGAACTCTGTAACGACAAACCTTAGTCTTCTCACCACCTTCTCTTTCACTACTCAGTGTCATCGATACCTTGAATCATCTCACAATGAAGCTCTTTGATACCCTGAAATCGGATCTCAAAACCGATGTTACTTGGAACCGAGCCGCCCGGCTTGGCGCTTCTGGGGCAAGATCCCTGCCCTCCGGGACCGTCCAGTATCTGGCCGACAAAGTCCCCATCATCGGCTGGTTGCCAAAATATAACCCGCGATGGCTCGTTAGCGACCTGATAGCGGGTCTTACGCTGGGTCTTATGTTGATTCCGCAAGGCTTGTCCTATGCCAAGATTGCAGACATTCCTGTTGAGTACGGGTTGATGTCTAGCTGGCTGCCTGCGGTAATTTACGCCTTTATGGGGTCAACGAAAGGTCGGTTTGTTCATATCGTTCAAGAATTTCTCAAGTTGACGCTTTGTAGATGTATCAACCGGACCAACCTCGCTCATCGGCTTACTCACGTCTGAGAATGTGCACGCTCTTCAAGACCGATGGACCCCATCCGAGATCGCATCCGCAACCGCCTTCATGATGGGCATCTACGGAATAGTACTGGGATTCCTCAAGCTTGGATTCCTGTTGGAGTTTATCTCCCTCCCAGTGCTCAGCGGCTTCATCACAGCAATTGCCATCACTATCATCCTCAACCAGATGGATTCTCTCCTGGGAGAAGACAACGTTGGCGATGGTGCTGCTCGACAAATCCATGATATTTTCAATGAGCTACCTAACGCCAACGGATGGGCATGTCTCATTGGATTTACTGGAATATTATTCCTGACGATACTGGACAAGTCTGGGAAGAGATGGGGCAAGAAGAACAGGGTCATCTGGCTCTTGTCCATCACTAGGGCTTTCCTCGCACTCGTTCTCTTCACTGGAGTGAGCTATGCTGTCAACAAGAACCGAGGAGAAGACTTTCTCTTTGATGTTGTCAAGGTTCAGTCCAAGGGTCAGCAAGCGCCAAGAATGCCAAGAAAGGATCTCATTCCCGAGATTGCCGGCCGCAGCATTGCCGTCTTTATCGGCTCCGCAGTTGAACATCTCGCTATTGCTCGAGCTTTTGCCGTCAAGAACCACTACGCGTCAGACCAGAGCCAAGAGCTTTGCTATCTTGGAGTCACCAACTTCTTCAATAGCTTCTTCCATGCTATGGGTGTTGGCGGTGCCATGTCTCGGACAGCGGTCAACTCGTCATGCAATGTCAAATCACCACTCTCTGGGGTTGTGACCATGGCTGTCGTGCTTGTCTGTGTCTATGAGCTTGTGGGCACTCTCTATTGGATCCCTAAAGCGACGTTGGCCGCCATCATCATCACTGCTGTATGGGGACTTATTTCTCCTCCATCGACATTTTACAGATACTGGAAGACTTCGCTAGCGGACTTTATCTCATCAATGCTTGCGCTTTGGGTGACACTCTTTGTCTCAAGTGAGGTCGGCATCGGATGCGCGGTTGGGTTCAACATCGTCTATGTGTTGTTGCGCCAGGTATTTACACGGCTATCGTCGACTGGTAGCGATGTTGAGTCAAGAGCTGGCAACCTCCAGAGACTCGGTGGCGCTTCACCCCACATTCCTGAAGATATGAGGGTATTCACATTCAACGAGTCTCTCTTCTTCCCCAACGCCTTTCGCAACACGTCCAAGATCTTGGATGACATTCAGACCTTTCATGCACCAGTCTACAATGGGAGTCACGGTCTTGAAACCGAGCGGAACTGGTCTGTGGTGGGCGAGAAGAGAGTGGCGCGTCTCCGCAAACAAGCCGGCATTGACGGTGTCTCATCGCTTCCAGAGATCAGAGTCGTCGTTCTCGACTTTACTCGTGTCAACATGATTGACACGACTGCCGTTACTCACTTGCGGAACATGGTGGCAGCCCTGAAGACGTACGCTGGAGATGGCCTTGAGATCCGGTTTGCTGGCATGAGCTCTCAATGTCGTGAGCGCTTCGAGAGAGCGAATTGGCACATCACCAAGGTAGGATCTGATGGAGAGGATGCCGGGGATGTTTCTGAGTCTACTTATCTGTACTGGGATACTGCGGCCGCAATAACGGCGCCAAGACGGAGGGACTCGGTTCTCAGTAATGAAGGCAAAGTGCATGCGATGCATCAGGAGAAGGCAGATGCTTGATATTGCTGGGAATTTTGTGATGAAACAGGTCTCGCAGATTGCCATTGATCGTATTAATGTATTTCCGAGTCTTTTCTCTTGGTATCTCTTGAATGATGCCACATATACCTCTCAACATTGCCGCAATCAGTGACGAAATGTCACGCGCACCAATAGGTAAACAAGATGATATGATCCACAAGACATACGCGTTACCGGCTTTTCCGGCGCTAGAAAGGAAGCATACTCCGGACAGAGTTTCGTAGTTTCAACGTTTAATAACACGGGGCTACGGGCACGTCCCTTGTTTCTCCTACATCGGGAAACAATCGGACTACGGTTCATGCATATTTCTAAGGCTACCCTGTCTAGCGGAGCCATGGGCACCTTGTGAGTGGTGGGAAAACGGGCACAGCCCTTGGTACATCCGAGTGTAACAGAGGGCGGGAATTGATCAACATGAAACAACTGTTGGTTATGTCTCCCCTGAAAATCACGCAAGGTGTAAGCCAACAGTCCCAACTGCCAAATTTGATGGCTGGATAGGCGGGATCTTCATGGTCTGGCCACGGAAGAATTGTCTGAACTCAGGGATAGTTGGTGGAGTCGTGCATAGGATGAAATTTTTTGAGCTAGATGATAAAGTCCTCTGCAGCCGCTCATTCAACTAATCTCGAAGCCACCTCCCTTAGATCTTCATCTATCGATCGTCCTAATCCGAAACCATGAAGTTCCAGACCCTCTGTGCTACTCTGGCCGCCGCCAATGTGGTTGCAGCTGACACGCTGCTCGCCCGCATGGCTGATTCTTGGATCCGCAACAACCATGAAACCCAGAGAGCATACTGGTATGGTCGAGGTGTGGTCTACGAAGGCTACGAGGCGGCCATCGAGTTGACCAAGAATGAGACGCTCTCGGAGTGGTACCGCTCCCAGATTGATGATCTCGTCATCGCACCCAACGGCACTATTGTCAACTATGACATGACCCGGTACTCGCTCGACAACTACCGCATTGCCCTGAACCTTCTTTACTGGTACCAGAAGACTGGTGAGGAAAAGTACAAGACCGGAGCCGACTTTATCCGCGACAGACTCAACCAGCATCCTCGCACCCCCACTGGAGGCTTCTGGCACCGGTCTCCTACCTACCCGGACCAGATGTGGCTCGACGGCATCTTCATGGCCGATTCTTTCTACGCTGTTTGGACCTCCCTCTTTGACGCTAAAAACACCACTGCCTGGAACGACATTGTTTTGCAGTGGGACAAGATTCAGGAGGTCACCATTGAGAAGGAGACTGGTCTGCCCGTTCATGGCTTTGACGAGAGCAAGACTGCTGTTTGGGCTGACCCCGAGACCGGAGCTTCCCCCATCGTCTGGAGCCGAGCTGTTGGTTGGTACATTTGGTCGCTCATCGAGGTCCTCGACGTCTTCCCCAAGTCTCACCCCGGCTACAAGCGCCTTCGCACCTACTACAAGAAGCTTGCGACAGCTCTTGTTAAGGCTCAAGATCCCGAGAGCCACGGTTGGTGGCTGGTCATGAACAAGCAGTACGCCGGTGTCGAGGGTAACTACCTTGAGAGTTCTGCCTCTGCCATGTTCACCTACGGACTCCTTGCTGGCCTTCGACGCGGATATTTGGATGAGAGGACTTTCGCCAAGCCCGCTACCAGGGCCTACAACCATCTGGTCAACGACTTTGTCACGGAGCATGCCAACGGCACAATTACGTGGGAGGGCACCGTCGAGGTCGGCTCCCTGAACAGCGATGCCTCTTTCAAGGTATGTATTTCCCATCCTCGCTACTTAAAGAGATTTTAGTTAACATGTCACGTTTAGTACTACACTGAGGTCCCCATCGTCCCCGATGACACCCGTGGTGTTGGACCCTTCATGATGGCTTTGTATGAGTGGGAGCGACGCACCACCAAGGCCTAAGATTTCAATGGACCAAGATAGAAGGGGCTGGTAAATCTAATGATTAGAGTTCTCATCGATAGAAGCAGCGGTAAGCTGCACTTATGCATAAACTAGACCTATCATACATCTTAATACCTAAAAAGTTGCGCCTTCTCCTCTATTTTCTTGCCCATGTCATCTTGGATGCCGGCGCTAGCGGACGCTAGCGGATCTCACGCGGACTGCGGCGGTGGGGATGCGGACGGCCCCACTTCGGGCCGCGCCTTGGACGCGGAAGGCGGCGGTCATAGTGCGTGAAGAGTTGATCAAGGCTGACCAACTTGAGGCATAAATATGGCCTCTCATTTCTTTCTCTTGCCTTTTTGTTTCTATCATCACACTCAGCATCACAGAAAACTCGATTGAGCCTTTTGTTCTACATAAATTTCTACGTCTGTTCCAACATGCCCTCAACCACCTTCTCCTCCGACTCGTTGCCGGATCTGACTGGCCGGGTCTACATCGTCACTGGTGGCAACGCGGGAATGTGAGTTGATAAGCCTTAAATCTCTCCCAGATTATCTGGTCTAACATTGCTCAGTGGCAAGTCAACAGTTGTTGCTCTCGCCTCTCATGGTGCCAAGGTGTACGTGGGTGCTCGCAGCGAAGCTAAGGCTACAGCTACTATCACAGAGATCAAAGCGCAACTTCCTTCAGCACAAGTACTCTTCCTTCCCCTCGATCTCTCCAGCTTCAAGAGTGTTGTGTCTGCCGCCAAGAAGCTTTCCAACGACGAGTCTTCGCTTCACGGCGTTATCAACAACGCTGGTATCATGGGCGTTCCCTTTGCTCTGACCGAGGATGGGTATGAGATTCAATTCCAGGTTTGTTCAAACTATCCACTATTATTCCTTGCCATACTAACACATGAGCTCTACATCAAGACCAACTACCTCTCTCACTGGCTCCTCACGTTCCATCTTCTCCCTCTCCTCCAGTCCACAGCCGCCAACTCTCCCAAAGACACAGTTCGGATTGTTAATGTCACTTCTGATGGACACGCGAGGTTCCCACCAAAAGCTGGCATTGATTTCGGAAACCCCTCGCTTGAAAAGGAGTCAGCCATGACCCGATACGGTCAAAGCAAGCTTGCCAACATTCTCCATGCCAAGCAACTGCATGCCATCTACGGCCCTACCCAGAAAGGAGACGGTGCTAGCCAGGGCACCATCTGTACAGCAGCAGTTCACCCTGGCCATATCGATACGTAAGTCAAGCTATTTCTCAATGACACATCTCCACGGACAGTGCTGACTTAACTAGAAACCTCAACAAACAAGCGACTGGTACCGCACCCAGCTCCGTTCTGCGTGCCATCACTCCAGTCATGCGCTGCCTGGGCATCTTGGATGATCAGGAAAAGGGCGCCTGGTCTTCGCTCTTTGCAGTTGCAAGCCCACAATTCGGATCCAAAGACTCCGGGGCTTACATCGTCCCTTATGCAAAGATTGGAACGCCGAGCCCGCTTGCCCAGAACACTGAACTGGCCAAGCAACTGTGGGACTGGACCAAGAACGAACTTGGTAACAAAGAATTTCTGGAAGTTCAATGATGCAGACACTTCTACACCGTCTCCCCTTCAAGGATTCTGCAATATTTTTCTAGATCGATGTCAGTAGTAGTAATGGGATACTAATCGGCTTTGGCCTACCTCCAACTTTCCAAGACCGTCCAATCAATGCCAATGCGTGCTTCAGCAAGTCTACTGCCGCCTTCAGCTCAACCTTTCCAGTCTCCTCAATATACCACTGGTATTGAGTGGCGGCAGCATAGAGACATTGGGCCGCGAAGGGACTGATGATAACTTGGATCCCTTGTGGCTCAAGGAGACTGACCAAATGTGAGGCAAACTGCCAGACTGATGCCCCAATATCATGCAAGGTATTGAGGGCTGCCTCTTGCATCTTCAGCTGCCCTGGGGTGCCAACACCCGACAAGTCATCCAAATCAGCGCAGGTGTGATTGTCACATAACGCAATGATGGCACTGAAGCAAAGTCCTTGAGCAGGCGAATAAACAAGGAACGCATGAGGTTCCTCCCTTTTCACTTCTTGGTCTAGTGCCAGCTTAAAAGAGGAGAGAATTCCATGTAGCCGAAGAGCCTCAGAGTAGTACTGTTCTGGGCTTTTTGTGCTTTGACTTGTGCCAATATGTGATAGAACCCTGGAAAGTAGATGTGCTGCTTGGCATGTTCTGGCGAATGGTGGTGCAGGCAAGTTGGTGCTGCTAGAAACAGCAAGCGACGGAACGACTGTTTGCTCCTAGCTAGCTATTAGGGTCAAAAACTCGGTAGCTCAGGCGAAACTCACGCCAAGGTCCCATACGGTTTCATCCATGGGTAGAAGATCTTCAGGGGATGCGTCGACGGAAGCAAATGGCCTATCAGGAAGGCCAATATTGATAAATCTAGGAGCTCAGCCTTGTCCTCACTTCATGTCAAGTTACTTACCGATCTAGGGTGGTCACACCCCACCACGTGCGACGTATCTCCTCGGTTGCAGTCCACGACACTGAGGAGCGTTAATGACTAACTTCAACGAAGGGGAGATGGGCCATAAATCACTTGTTGATGGAAACATTTGCGAAACACCGCGCCGGTCGTGAATTCCGATGGCATGGCCTATTCGAGCGCAATGACCAATCGATAGAAATGCGGCCGGGAATATGGCATGGCCCGCTTCATATAAGGATAATAGCAAAGTCGCTTGTAAAACACGCATCGAAAAAATGTGTTGGTCTTCTACAAGACGTAGACATTGTTTTGCTTTGCGATACTGCGCTTGAGGATCCATAGCAGCTTCGTTCCTATTAGGTAGCAAGATTTCCATGCATTGAAGGAGTAGTATGATGTCAGGAGAGTGATACCCTTCGGAGGATATTTGTTGGTACAAGGTCCTTTTGGAGACTGCCAAGACATGGAGGTCAGATCATACGGTCATGCCCAATGGAATTTGTCACTGATCTCACCGATGGGAAAGACGGGATGAACCATTGCAAAAAATGAGTCAACAACATAGGCCATCTGTTCTGGGCTTTTGCCTATCATCTGCGAAAACTCGGGAGGAAGAGAAGATGCTTGAGGACTCGGGATTGTGGATCCCCGTTGCTTGAAGGTATATGAGTCCAGGAAGAAAAGAGCCGGGAAGTTATATAATGAGGAGGTCGGCTGCAATACAGATATACAAGTCAGCCGACTCAACCTGAGAAACTATTCAGTATAAAGAAGGTCGGGTTAAGTAGCTTACCGCGTGGACGTAATGTCTAATGGCCTGGCTCCCAGGATACACACATGGCCGACCATTCTTCCGGCAAAGATGGCACGAAGGAAGTTCACGTGTACATTTCCTCTTCTGGCTCCTGCAACTTGCGCAGGCCAGTCGGCTTGACTGGTCTACGAGCCCATCCATGGCGATGTTAAAGATCGTGATCAGATTGGTGAAGGTGGAGGATGTGGGTTAGATGGCTTGGCTTTAGTGAGGTCTGATTATCCCACGTGACTTGGGCTAATGATGAGAGGCGTTGTTGATTGGCTCATCGACCAGTACCATGCAAGCCAGCTTGATGAGAGCATCACGTGCGCCATTTATTCGAAGGAGACAAGGTTCTACTTGAGGGTGAAAGATGGGCTGCCCATAGAATACTTGAATGGAGTTGTGTTTCAAAATAAACAAAGTCAAGACTATCACGTAGAGGAAAGAAGATCCTAGCAAGTATTGATAAGACGAGATAGTAGGTCAGGGAAGAAAGAAGCCCAACCCCTATGGGGGCAAACTCATACCAAAAGGGACTGTTTTCCATAGAAGACTCAGCAGTGTAATAGACAGCAAGATAAAAGCAAGAACTTGGGCACTTCATTTGGTTGGATCGACCAAACCTTTGAGAAAATCTGCTGTGTGGCGTGGTTGGGAATGATGAAGAATGCAGCGATGGCACTTGTATCCAGAAGTGCGTATCCTTATATGACTCTCTAAATATTTGTTATTTTATTGCTCTCATTGTGCTCTTTCAACATATTTAAACACAACACATAATGAACCTTATTCTAGATTGATAACACCTGGAGGCCTCTTTGTATCCCACCTAGATCGGAGACGCTTGTGACTCACCACACTCATCAGCCTCAACAAGAAGATGGCATTGAATTCTGCCTGTTGGCAGGATGCTTTCCCATGCCCTTGACGCCCTTCGCTTCTGCACGGTCGCATTGGCGCTTACACTTCTCCACCTCGCCGCCTGACTCAGCCTGCATGTAGTGAATCTTGGAGGCATAAAAGACAATCATGACCCATGGTTAGTTACTCCCTTTCCCTCTCCAACATCTACACGGCTTGCACCATGGCCTTGTTCGTGGATTGCCCCCAAGAGATCGTTGACTCTATCCTACAATGGCTTTCTCCAAAAGACATCCGCGCACTATGCCTCGTTGATAAATCCCGCTGCACGGCTGCTCAGCCTCGGTTGTATTTTCGAATTGAGTGGGAATGGGCCGCCAAAGTACCTCCTGTTGATCTCCTCCTCCGCACCCTACTCGAAAAGCCGGCCCTGGGCGAATGTGTTCAATCCGTTATCTTGAAAGGCGTCGACATACCAGGGCAATACTGTTGCCCTGCTACACCAGCCAAACCGCAATTTGACGATGGCGGCGTGGACGACTTGGTGGCTTTTGTCAAGTCTAGGGAATTACCACGGCGGTACACCAACCACTGGATCAAGGGGTTGCGCTCCTCTAGAAGCACCCTCAAGATGGATGCATACATTGCGTGTTTGCTGGCCATGCTGCCAAACCTTGGGTTTCTGAAGCTTGAACCCGGATTTGCCGTTCGCAGCAAACTGTCGAGCAGGATGTTCAGAGCTGCTCTTTCGGTCTTTCCCCGTCAACACAGACCCAAACTTCCCCATTTCGAGCAGCTTCGGGATGTTGCTCATCTGCGTCGGATCGCTTCAATTCCATTTGGCAGATCCAAGGGCGCCGACTTGCTTACGCCGTTCTTATACCTGCCGAAAGTGCACCAGGTCTCAGCTTGTATCGATAACACGCCGTATTGGAGGTGGCCAGAGCGTAAGCCGGCCCTTGAGACGCTTACGACACTGAACCTTGCCTTCATCCATGCCAAACATCTCGGCACGATCCTCTCTGAGACGAAAAACCTTCAAGCCCTTCGGTGGGACTGGCGTGGTTGGCCATATACTCAATCCACTGACGGTCACTGGATCAGCCTGGACGAGATAATGGCTGCCCTCCAACACGTCCAGGAAACGCTCATCGAACTAAAAGTCCTAGGCTCGTGCAACTATCTAAGCTACCACCGCCGTACAGTGCGTTTAACAGGAAGCTTACAGGGCATGGTATCCTTTAAGAAATTAAAGACGCTTGAAATCCCATTAGCATTCCTGGCCGGCCTTGCCGCCCCTGATCAGCCGACGCAGATCGGTGAAAGCTTGCCTGTAACCGTCGAGCACGTTGCTCTCACCGACGACTTTTGCAAAACGAATGATTGGCAAGGTCAACAGCAGCTAGAGGTGTTTTCTTTGTGGATGGACAATTTGAAAAATACGACGTCGCGGCTCCAAAGGTTCGTGTGGGTGACGCTGCTGAGGGACACGGTGGTGGAGTGGCACAGCAAGTCCGTGTTGACAACACGCCTATTGGATGCGTGTGGTAGGGCTGGAGTTGAATTTGAAATTGATCCGCGCTATGGAAATTTTGAGAGAAAACACTACTTAGGCTGGGACTAGCAAGAATGGTCTGTGACCGCTATCACGTCCTCAAAAATAGTCGAGTAAGGCAGTGTTTACCCCCTATTTACCCTCAGCAAGTCCACAATGCTACTTCTTGGGCTGTATACTCAGAGATATGTTAAATGAACACTCATTCCTTCCAAACTTCTACGACTTCAGCTTACCTCTCTAGACCCAACCTCGAGAGCCTGAGCTCGAACAAGATTATAATACCTCGCCCCCCTCCGCATTAACTCGGTGTGTGTGCCTAACTCCACCACTTGGCCTTTCTCAATCACATAAATCTTATCTGAATTGCGGACAAAACTAAGACGATGTGCAACTGAGATTGTCGTTCGACCTCGTGAGGCCTTCTCCAAAGCATCCTGCACTAGCTTCTCTGATGCGGAGTCAAGGGCAGAGGTCGCTTCATCTAGGAGCAGAACTCGGGGGTTGCGGATGAGGGCTCGAGCGATTGCGATACGTTGTTTTTGGCCACCGGATAACATCACGCCGCGGTTACCGACTGTTGTTGCGAGGCCGTCGCTAGGACTGTTAGCATGGAGCCTTATGAAGTAGGATAAATCACTTACGGAAGAGAGGAGATGAAGTCGTAGATGTTTGCATCCTTGCATGCCTGAATGATGGCCTCATCTGTCTCATCAGGGCCGCAACCGAGAGTGACGTTGTCTCGGATCGTCCCAGAGTATATCGTAGGTTCCTGACTAACGTAGGCCAACGTTCTCCGATACTCGGCCACGTTAAGTCCTCTGATATCTTGACCATCGATCTTAAGGCTTCCGGAATCAGGATCGTATAGACGCTCTAACAATGCGAAGCATGTGCTTTTGCCGCATCCGCTGCCCCCCACAAGAGCAATGTGTTCGCCTGGCTGAACGGCGAAACTCAGGCCATTGAGGATCGGATGTCCAGGGCGGTTTGAGTATGTGAAATGAATGTTTTCAAATTCAATCTTTCCTTCACACTTCTCAGGCAGATGAGTGGTGCTATCGCCCTCAGAACCGTCAATGGTTGGCGTCTTTTGCAACATCGTGTGAAACGTCCTTGCAGCCTTCTTTGCCTTTCCAATATCAGTCGCAAAGGAAAAGACCAGTCCCGCGGCTTGAGATCCGAATATAATCTCGGCAAAGCATGCAAAGAACTGGAATATGGAGTATTCCCCATCCGCGATGCGTTGTCCGCCATACCAGAAGGCCAGGGCGACACAGAAGAAAGCAAACGACTGCGACGCCGCATACGGTACGGAAGACTTGAGAATAGAAACAAAACTCTTTCGCTCCTGTGTTTTAAGTTGTTGCTCGTAGTGGTGGACGAATTGCTCCTCTGTGGCGAGTGCGGCGATGGTGCGCGCTGACATTACGGCTTCGCTGGCGTATGCGGAGGATTGTTTGTGTGCTTCGTGGGATCTTTGGGCGAACTTGGCGATCATCCAGACGCGGTAGAAGCCGCAACCCAGAAGGACTGGGATGGTGGAGATACATACGAGAGCCACCTTCCACCCGATGGCTAGTGCGATGGCCATGGATGCGACGAGCGTGGTGCAGCTCATGAAGATAGTCCCGAGCGTTGAGCCGCTCACGCCAGAGAGACTCTTTGCCTCGACACCAAGAAGGGACGTCAGAGCGCCGGTTTTGTTTTCATCTCGATCGAAAAACGAAACGTCTTTTTCTATGATGGAGCGAAAGAGTGTGCTTCTGGCTCGATATATAAGACGCTCAGAACAGATGGCAAAGGATACGCCTTGGATGGTGAGGTTAATGACGTGGATGAGGCCAACGGCAAACATCATCAGGCACCAGAAGTTGGCACCTTCTCTCATGGATGAGACCATGGTGTCGGGCTTAGAAAGTTCGTTGATGGCTTTGGCGAGGAGAAAGGCCAGGGTCGGACCACCGCAGCCGGCGAGGATAGAGAATGTGAGGCCAATAGCGAGGAGTTTGGCTTCGGGGCGGTTGAAGGATGCGGTCAGGGACACTAGAGACCAGAGTGACGTTTTCACATCTTGAGATTGTTGGTCCTCTTGATCCAAGGGAACGATCTCTGTGTTGTGGCCAGTCTTGTCCATTTGGTGTGGCAGCGGTTGATCTTGCGCAGACTCAGGAGCCGTGCTGTTGACTCCATGACCAGATGGATGCTCCTCTAGTTGCTGCGCCTCAAAGAGCTTTGAGTAAACGCCATTCAGGCCTTGAAGCTCACTATGCGTTCCCTGCTCCACAACTTTGCCCTCTGACAAGACAATGATGTTGTCGGCATACGTGATAGTCGAGAGCCTGTGCGAAACGACGATAGTCGTTCTTCCAACGGAAGCCGACTGGATTGCTTCTTTGATACTCTGCTCAGACTCTGAATCCAGTGCGGATGTAGCCTCATCGAGGAGAAGCACTGCCGGGTTGCGGATTAGAGCGCGGGCGATTGCGATCCTCTGCTTCTGGCCGCCCGAGAGCTGAGACCCGCCTTCGCCAAGTTTGGTATCGTATCCCTTGGGGAGATTGGTGATGAAGTTGTGAGCGTTGGCTTGCTTGGCAGCTTCGTGAACCCGTAACTTAAGAGACTGGACCTTTTCTTCGTCCTTGTCTGGAATGTCGAGGGCGCCCATTGCGATATTGTCGAAGATGGAGGCTCCAAAGAGTACGGGCTCCTGGGCCACGAGGGCCAGTTTCTGTCGAAACCATCTCAAATTGAGTGCAGAAATGTCCTTTCCATCGCAGACAACTTGTCCACTAATTGGAGAGTAGAACCTCTCGATGAGGCTGATGACAGTACTCTTGCCAGAACCTGATGGCCCAACAATGGCTGTAGTTTTTCCAGCTAGAATTTGCAGGTTGACACCATCCATTATGACTTGCTGAGGTCTGGCAGGGTAGATGTGCTTCACGTTGACAAAGTCGATGGACCCTGAGATTTGGTCGAGCTTGGCACCCTCCTCCGAAGTTGGATCGAGAGGTGATTCTCGGTCAATGACGGAATACACCTTGGAAGCTGCCGCAACAGCTCCAGCAAAGGCGGGAATATGAGGTGCAATACCGCCAAGAACGTGCGACCCGATAAGAATGGCAAAGGCGACCGTTATGACATCAGAAAGACTCGCCTCTCCCCTGCCGATAAAGATCGATCCGGTCCAGAATGTTAGGGCATGGCTCATGAATGTCATGGTTGTGACAATGGCGATTAGAACTGCGACACAGATCTGAGCCTTTCGTCCCCAAGTCTCGACGGAGACGAGATGTGACTCGAATCTTGAGGAAAACACGTCTCGAACGCCAAGGGCTTTGACGGTCCGAATGGAGCTGATGACTTCTTCAGCGAGACCGCCTACAATGGAGTAGTTCGCCATTGACTTTCCTTGGTACTTGATGATGAACCGCGTGCACACCGTGCTCGTAACGATGATGCCAACAAGGATCGAAGACGCAACAAGTGTGAGCTTCCAATACTTGATGAACCCAATCACGTAGGCGCTGACAAGCGTGGCAAGCTCTGTGATCACAAATGCCACCTTTTCCGAGACGCCCTCTTGGATATTCTGACAGTCGAGTGAGATCCTTGAAGACAGAATCCCGGGTCCAACGTTGTCGAAGAAGGCCATATTCTGTCGGAGCAGGGCGCGGAAGTACTGTTGCCGGATCGTGCGTGTCAGGCGCTCGCCGACGCCCATGAAGCCGACGGTCGAGATGTATGTGGCGACGTAAGCGCCAATGCCGAGGTAAACGAGGGTCAGGGACTTTTGCGTGAGGACCCTGTCGAATTCGGACCGGGGCATTTCTTGGAGAGAGATTGACTGAAAGAGCCCGGCCATGTCGCCAAAGAGAAGCTGAAGAGTTAGTGGGATGGCCGACTTGAAGGGGGCTCTGGTCTTACTGGGAAGCATGGTAGAATTGCACCAGCGGCGATTGCAGTCAAGGTGCAGAAAGCGAGAATGAGGAGGTCTTTCAGAGTTGCGTAACGGAACAGATCCTTAAACCCGACGGTGACATTTGAGGTTTCTATTTGGGATTTCAACTTCTCCTCCAAAGATGCATCTTCAATGGATGATATCGGCTCGTCGGTCGCCTGAGCCGTCTTGTTGCTCTCCATGATGCCGGTGCCGGAGGGTAAAACGTCTACACCAGGTTGGGCCAGCGGCGAATTGTCTCCAGTCGTGACGGCAGCTATCGAAGCTCACGCCCAGGGGCAGTCTTCACAAGATAGAAGGAGAAGTATTCCAAAAGGACATCATGTGAGAATTGGAGGAAGAATAACACGCAGAAATGTTCAACTTTGAAACATCAGCAGACGCCGAGGCTCGGAGACAACCGCTGCAACATTGTGACCTTTGCTACAGAAAATCGCTGTTGGAGATCATTCTTGACTCATTAGCGACTTGGCAACCATTTAGCTCAGCCCATGACCTGATGGTTACTACACTGCGGATACGGAGTACCGCATTGGGCTCTAAAGCTCCAGATGTTGAAATGGGGGAAACCAGCTCAATCTAGGCTTGGCTGCCCAATAGGAGAGAGGCCGGTGGATTGGATTTGGCAATTCGATCCTGATCAGATTAGATAACTCGACATCTGATTAGATCCCACCGTAATTTTCGTGTTGGTGGCTGTTTGACTAGACGTCTTGGCTTGTCGTATGACCATAGCTTTTTTTCTCCAGATCCCACGCCCAGACTCTAAGCACCCCATGCATCAGCCCATACCTTTAATAACGCGGCGGGCTAAGCGCAGCTTTAACCATATTTCCGGGACGAGGGGATCTGGACTACCCGATTATCTTTCGGTCTCGATCCGTGTTGCCTTACACTATGGGCGGGGATCAACGTGGGATGAACCATGGCAGGAGCTTGTGACTGAGTGTATTTTACAGGTTAAATAATGGATCTGCTTCCGCGCATCTTGGAGTGTTCATGCAGTATGCAGAAGCTTTACTTCGACACTCTTACCCCTACTTGCATTGCTTCTTTCACCATGGCTGATAACGCTGTTCGGCCAGAGCCAGAGCGTGTTGATGACAAAAATCTCGAGGCGCAAGAGGTGCGGAACGACGATGCTGCCTCTATGCATAGCGAGTCGTCTAGCATTCAGGCTGGTGTGCAAAAGGCCATGATTCTGAAGAAGGCGTGGTCACGTACATCCTTGGCCATCGCTTTCTCAAGGTACGGTTTGTCCTCTCCTGAAGTGGCACCAGCTAACAGAAGTCAGTCTGTTCCTCACAACTCTCGTCATCACCTTCTCCGACTACTCTGGACTGGTACTTGAGCCTTATGTGACAAGCGAGTTCAGGTCGCATTCAGCGATGAGCTCCGCTCGCGTTGTCATGAACATTACTCGCATCGTTGCCTATCCCGTCATTGCCAAGCTGAGCGATGTAAGTTTCTAAGATCTATGAGAGAATACAATGATTAAGAGCAAAATTAGGTCTTTGGTAGAGCTGAAATGTTCACCTTTTCCATCCTGTTCCAAACTCTGAGCTTCATCCTCTATGCGACTAGCAAGAACATTGGCAACTACTTTGTAAGAGATACCTTCCTTTTGCAGTCCGTTTGTCTAACCCACCAAAGACTGCAGGCCTCTTCGACGCAATTGGTGCCACCGGCTTCACCCTGGTCCAGCAAGTATTCCTCGCCGATGCCACAAACCTCGTCGACCGTGCATTCTGGTCCACACTTCCCGAGTCCATCACCACCATCCCGGCGCTCTACCTGGGTACCATCATGGGTGAAGGCTTCCTCAATGCGACTTGGCGCTGGGGTTATGGTACATGGGCCATCGTCACTCCCATTGTCGCCGTCCCGCTCATCGCCACCATCGCGGTCCTTCAGAAGCGCGCCAAAAAGCATGGGCTGCAGGCCAAGACTTTCTCAGCTGTCGCAGGGTGCTCTCCGGATAGTCCGATGTGGAAGAAGGTGTTTCACCTCATCTGGACCGAGATTGACTTCTTGGGTTTGATCCTTCTCATTGCTGGTCTTTCATTGATCTTGATCCCTGTGTCCTTGACTGGCTCGTTCAATCCTCAACGCTGGAAGGAAGGCTCGTTCATCGCCATGCTTGTGATTGGCGTCATCTGCTTTGCGGCATTTCTGGTTTGGGACCTCAAGTATGCTCAGAAGCCTTACATCCCCTGGCGCATGGCCAACAAGACCGTCATTGCTGGATGTGCCATCCAGATGTTTGACTTCTTGGGATACTCGCTCTTCACCATCTTCTTCCCCAGTTATCTCCAAGTAGCGGGCCAGTTTTCTCCCGGCCATGCCACTCGCATCGAGTAAGTCACAGTTACTACTTCGCATCCCTTGACAAGATGGCTAACGAGTCATCAGCAACTCCCTGCGAGTCGCCTTCCAGATCTCGGGCTTGTTTGTCGCCGTTGGTATGAAGTACACTAAGAATGCCCAGTACTGGGTTCTTGCTGGCCCTCCAATGGTAATTCTCGGTCAAGGAATCATGATTTATCTCGTCAACATGCCCAATGGTGGTCGTGCGAACGAGGCATCCTTTATTGCTTCCAAGGTTCTCTCTGGTATCGGCCGAGCATTCTTCCAAACCGCTGGTCAAGTGTCTGTTCAGGCTGTGGTTTCTCGTCAGGAAGTTGCCGTCGTGACAGGTCTCTTCCAAGCCGCGACCAGCGTTGGAGGTGCCCTTGGTACAAGGTAAGATCTCAGGTCTCTCATCTGCTCTTTAAGCAAATGACTAACTCATGGCAGTATCTCTGGAGCCATCTGGCGCAATACTCTCCCTACGAAACTCGCGTCCTATCTCCCCGAAGAGAACCGAAGCAACTCCACACTCATCTTCCAGGACATCGTGACCGCCAAGGGGTACCTCCCTGGCACGGAAGCCCGTGCGGCAATTAATCGTGGCTACAGCGAATCGCAGATGATCCTCGCTATCGTCGCCACGTGTTTCTGTGTGCCTAACCTTGTCATTATGTTTTTCATGAAGAATATGAAGCTCGACGAAGAGGATGAGAAGGATGAGAAAGGTATTAATCGCGCCATTGCCAAGATTGAGCAACAGGGGAGAAATTAGTCCAGATCTATAAATAGCTCAGAGCCGTTTAAGCCGAGGTAAAAAACCACAAAGGGGCGATTATGTAATTTTACCAGCGAGTCTGCGGGTCTAGGGTAAGGTGTACAGTCCAACAGTAATGGTGAAGCAGTATCTTGCTCACAAAAGCCTTTGACTGTTCCGCCGAGAAAGAGTGACTATTGAATATCTAAGATTCTTAGAAAGTCGGAGACTATTGCACTTGGATCACAGCCTTCTCTTGGTGAAGAGAAAGTTCCATACAGGGCGTAGATATTTCGGGAATTCATGTGGAGACAAGATCATTGGGAGCCACACTTTTTTATGACCATAGCCAAAAGCCTGAAATATATTCACTTGTTTGACTTAGCGATGGATGGACTGTATATGTGCTTGGTAAACTCTGTATACTAGGCTTTGAAACTAGATATAGAAGCTCAACCTGCGCCCGTCTCTTTCCCCATTGGCGTTCACAACATAAGGAGCAGTGATGTGACACAGGCGAAGAGGTACTGAGCTCACGTGACCAAGATTGTCTGTCAGGAGCATGTCTCAGAATCCGAACGGTGACGTCAGCGAATTAGGGGTGTTCTCGCAGACGTGGGGTTGGGGTCTGGAAATGAGGGGAACGGTTGAGACTAACCGACCCGCCCGTGGATGTCGACATTGGATTGGACCCCTATCGTCCATGGAAACTTTATTCATAAACTAATGAAACTAGAGATGCCTCGGTATGATCGATCGTCTTTGAATGTTCCTGTCGGATGAGAGATGGTCAATTGACTAACCAGCAACCCGGTTGCCGAACAAACACCCCTCTTCCGACTTTGCCTTCACCGCCCTTGCCTGCATCGACACTTAGCCGCTCCGACACACCTGTTGAAGCTGCCCACGCTGGTCGTGCCTTGCCTCTGCGTGCTTGTGAACAGGAGGAGAAGAGAGGGTTCTTAGTGACGCGTACGTGGAGTTACCTGGTCAAGTCACACCAATTGGGCATTGTCCATTATTCACAGGAACAAAGCTACAGTGCGATGGGAAATTGAAAGCTCATAAAGCGTATCTAAAAGATGCGTATGTTGACCACTCCAGCTAATCCTTGCCTTATTCCAATCTGCCCTCGGATCAGGCTTGAGCCATCACTGTCTTCTCCAGTCCAACCTTGGCCGCATACTCGAGTCCCTCAACCACTTCTTGGGGTTGCGAGAGGAATGGGGAATGAGAGCCCTGGGAATGGAAGCTTGCTGCATCGGGACCCAGCAGCGAAGCCATGTGTTGCTGGATTGGCAGTGCCAGTGCCTGATCACCGTCGCAAAAGAAGTAGAAGCAATCGATGTCATGCCAGGGCTCATATGTGACGGTGTCAGTGAAGACACGGCCCGACTGGTGTTTCAGAGCGTCAAGGGCCTTCTTTTGAGCCTCTGCTTCCACGTCGTGATAGAAGATCGTTTCGGGTGTATCGGCGTAAACGTAATCTCCCTGACACACCAATCAGCAACAGTTCCATCATCGATGTAACCTTCCTTGATTCCATGGGGACTTACCTCAGGCCTCATCCATGGTAGAAACTGGCCTCCAAGCATTTCCTTGATGCTTTTTCCAAGCGGCGTCACAAAAGCCGCCAGATACACGAAGAGGATCACACCACCCGTCTTTCCCTCTCGCTGACGCTGTTTGTAGCCCAACCCTTCAACCGCGTTTGCGCCAACCAGGCCGCCGTATGAGTGCACAACGAGGACAACTTTCTTCCCCTCATCGGCGAGACGCTCAACGCTAGTACGAACGGCGTTCGCATCGTCAGCTAGGCCCTTGGTGGGTGGTTCAGCGCCGACGGAAGGGTATTCAACAGCCTCGGTAGTCCAGCCACGGGTGTGGAGTGCTTCTCGGACGACGTCGAAGCAGTCTGCGGTATGCCAGGCGCCTGGGGCAAAGACAATGGTAGGCTTGACAGAAGACATGGTTTCGTAATGGATGGTGTTCTGATGGTGAAATGAGTAAATGAGCTTCGGATGTGTTGTTCAATGAAAAGCAAACCTGAGGGGGATATCACCAACATAAGTACTGTTGCATTGCCCACTAAACATGTTCATGGGCTAATTTCAGGCACTCCCAACACCGGTCCGGCAAATAATTGACGTTGCAGCCACTACGGGGGCAGCATGTCAAACATACGACGGAAAGGGGTCGGTTGCTACCTAGTTGGCACTAAGAACCAACACCAACAACCAACACCCGACAACCGACATTGGAGCCTCGGTTCTCCTTACCAGCCTTTTTACAGTAAGTCTAACCGCACTCACCTCGTTCAAGACTACCTTTGCCATTTTTGAATTCTCCGAGCAATTGTTTACCAGAGCCACCCACCATCTTCTCAATTCGGGAGCCATGGCCGCATCGGCAACACTCCAGACCCGCGTTGACTTGCAGGCCGACAGAAGTAGGGAACTCAATATTACGACAACGATTGTGCTAGTACTTTCAGTGGTTTTTGTTGCTTTGCGTTTCTGGGCCCGTCATATCAGGGCTGGCTACGGAGCCGATGACTGGATGACAGTCGCCGCGTTGGTACATACCTACCCACCCAAGACCCTCCGTCATACAGAACAGGATCTGAACTTTGAACTCTAGGTGGCTGTTTTCATCTCTGGCGCGGTGAATTATACTAGTAAGCTGAAGTCTCCTTTCATTGACAGTGACCTGACAATTACAGTGATCAGTCATGGGCTTGGTAGACATGCCGACGCTGTGCCCACCGCAGACCAGGTTGCCTTCTTCAAGCTCCTTGTGGCGTTTGAGTGCATCTATGTCACTGCAGTTATGCTTGTGAAGCTCGCTCTGCTGCAAATGTACTTGCGCATCTTTTTATCTCGCGGCTTCAGGGTGTGTGCAGCTGTGATAGCCACCATCGTCGTCGGCTGGTGGATCGCCATCGTCGCCGTCTCCATATTTCAATGTACGCCGATCAAGAAGGCGTGGATGCCGTGGATTGATGGATCATGCATTAATCTTAAAGCCTCCTTTATCGGCAATGCGATCCCAAATATCGGCACGGATGTTGCCATATTGTGCATGCCAATGAGACAGATCTGGAAGCTGCACGCCAACCTGGCTCAGAGGCTATCTTTGTGTGTCATGTTCCTCCTTGGCAGCTTGTGAGTTTTTTCGATTCCTTCTTCTTTAGAGCAATTGTATCGATTGACTCTTCAACTAGTGTTCTGTTTGCCAGCATCTACAGATTCACCACCATTATGCAGTTCGACCCAGTCGATACTACGTGTAAGCGCCGATTATAGTAGGAACTTGATGATAATATTCCTGACCTCCAACAGGGACACTCGCCACAGCCTGTGCCTGGTGTGTCGTCGAGGTAGCTTGCGGAACTATCGCTGTCTGCCTTCCAACCTTGCGGCCGCTCATGGTGAAGATCTCTAAACAGTTTGGCAGCTTAACTAATAGCAAGGGAGCACATAGTGGCCGAAGCGCAGTGGCCACAGAGCTCATCACAATAGGCGGAACCGGAGGCGCAAAGTCCGGGCAGAGGTACTTTCAACGGCTTGGGAACGAGTATGAGCCCAACAATAGCCATGCGGAGATTACTAGGTCAGAAGCAACGAGCCAGCATGTTGGGCAGAGTGATGCAAGTTCGGGAGATGAGATTCCGCTGCACAAAGGGGATAAGATTCCACAATAGAAGACCATACCGACGTCATTTACATTACGAATGCTATTTAGAACACGCGCCACACTCTTACTTATGTACATTGGATGATAGCATCACGTAACACAGCGCGCTATATCCCCACTAGACGTTCATGCGTGGCTACGCATGGGAGCTGAGGGAGTATGAGGGAAAAAGCGTCGAAGGGGAAAAGCCTCAGTCGAATACACAATCCCTTTGGTGTCTAGCTTTTAACTACCGGTCACCCTCACGATAGTAGGGTCACTGGAGAAGTACCAAATGGAATGAATTGTGCCGTCCCTGGGCCAGATGACTTTGTTCCCATAGCTATCACCAGTCTTGTCGTAGAAATAGAAATGGTACGACCTAGTGCAGGTGAAGAAAGCCTGAAAATACTTTAGGACTCAGCAACATGAAGCTCGATGAGACGGGGCGTTTCGTCTCCCCACTCTTGAAGATGAGAATATTGACGACAGATTTGAGACAACACAGCGAACCAGCTGATAACGGGAGACTATCGCCTGGAGCCACAGAAACCTATCACTGGCTTCGCGCGGCTAGGTTCTGGATCCGGATGGCATGCCGGTGCTCGTGGCTGGAGTCATATCATTACATCGCCGGTGGACTAGTCATGCTTGGCTTGTTTACTGCTAGCTAAGGCAAATACTCAACTTAACTGCCTAAGGAAACGATACAAGACAGGGAATTCTGATCTCAGTTGCAATTACATACTCCATCTCAGCCACCGACCCCAGTGTTCTCTCGGAATTCCCGATAAGGAAACGGGTTGATCAACATGACTGGCCCGTAACCAAAACATTCCAGTTAGTAGTGTGGGAAGCTCTTCCGCGAACCCAACAGAATTGGCCATCAGGATCATAGCACTTGTTATAGACAGCTTGAGCGCCATCGGCAACTGAGCCAAAGGAGTTGAGAGTCTTCTTTCCAGAAGACGTGTTGCACCAATAAATACCAGAGTTGTCCGAGCCTAGTCCGATTAGCCGCCAGGACCACCTTACGGCCGACATGAGTGAGGGAGAGACACTTACAGCTAACACGGCCACACTTTCCAGGATCATTGACGGGCTTTCCCTTTACCTTCCTCAAATAAGTGATTCCCTTCTCGATGTAGTAGCAGCTGGCCCAAGTGTGGGTGTTGCACTTGATGTTGGAGCTCAGGAATGTGGAGCGTTTCCAAAGGACGCTGGCGGGGTTGTCACTATCCCTCTTCTCTGGGTTGACAAATCCCTCGTCGTCAGTTTCATCGTCATGTCCGGCCCAATCTTGATCATAGGTTGGGTTAAGATCGAGAAGTTGAGGGTAGACTTCCTCGACGGTGCCGGTCAGGTGCACAACCTCGCCACCGGGCTTGAGCTCAAGCTCCCACTTGACTGGGACAATCTCCATCCCGTCAATGGTTTCGGCAGAGGCAATCTAGTCGATGAAAATTAGTATGAGTCCATCTGGCTGTATAGAGAGAAGGGTCACGTACATGGGCCGCACCACCCAGGAGGGCGAGACCAGCGAGAGTAGGACAACGCATCTTGAGGAAAGGATCTCCTGTTGATTTAAGAATGGTGAAGGCGTTCGGTTTGGATGAAGAGCGATACCAAGAGAAGAATAGCAACCTAGGTGTGTACAAAGGTAGACAGAAGGCTTGTGTAGAATAAAGGAAGCAAGAGCAAGTTTAGCTTGGGCTGTTCGACCCTTAAATAGTTTGATAATACGCATCCATCAAACGTTCATGCGAGTTTATGACGACGACTGATAGGCCGAGGCACCTCGCCACAGGGAAGACAGGTGCGCGATTTGATTTTGACACCTGATGATGGCATGGTTGAGGAACTTGTGGTGCAAGTTGTAAGTAACCTCGCAGTCGAATGTTGGCTGCAGGCGTTGGTTGCAGAAGGATGCTGATTCTAGACAGATGTTGGTTCTAGACGGATGTGAGCTGCAGAGACACCTCATGGGGGATCCACGTTATCGCAGTACACCTCCTGACCATCGAACATCAACTCCAGAAGCATAATACCAACTGTCTCAGAAGAATCAGAGATGAAAGATAAGAGCCCCAGCGCAACACCAATGAAGCTGGGCAAAAGAGGACAAAAAAAGCCCACGCTGAGCAACACGAAAGGCCATACAGAACGAAGGAGGATTTGACCTGGAGAAATGGAAGCTATCATCTTACAGGCCCTCCAACCATGGCAGATAGGAAGGTCCAGAAACGTTAATCAAGGTGTAGTAAATCTATCCGTATCGGGCTACCTGTGCGAAACAACTGAGACGTTGCAGCGAGGTACCAGAGAGGAAGGTGGCTATCTCCTTCTCCGAGCCCCTTGTCGTTCTCTACATGTTCTAGAAGTCTAGACTAAGATTCTAGTTAGAAGTTTAGGCTAATATTCTTAAAGTCCCTGCTTAATATTACTAAATCGGTATGCGACCCGTGGTTTATATTTTAGATGTTTAATATTAAAACCTCGTCTCAGAGAAATATTTCTAATAAGAAGTAGCAGAGCAGGACACCCCCTTTTTTGCAATGCTTTAAGAATAGTTTGAAAAACACATATGAATATAAAGCTTTACAGAAAACTTAGAAAAGAAGCAAGTTTTTCTCCCATGAGTATACAGCGTTAAGAAAGCACAAGCACTAGCCATGGGGGCTGCGGGTCGGCCTGACTCCCCATGCTTGGTTTTTCAAGTGCAGCGGGGAACCGGGCACGTCTACAGGGCCCCTCGTGCCCCTCAAAGAACAGGCCCTGATCTGAGTGCCGATCTTTTGCCCTCCTTACCCAAACTAGGGTCACTAAAGAGTCCATGTGCCTCGAGGAACGAGATCCTTCAGTCCCCTTTGAGCAACCACCCTGTCAACGATGGTAAGGCCGATTATCACCGATAGCTACCCCGGCAGTCCCGCATGGATTGACAACGGAAAGTATGCTGATAGTGGACACGCCAGGTACAAGTATCCGCTTTGTTAAATGACAACCTAACGGCCGCGCAAGCCTCATGGCGGATGGTCATGCACTTTAGCACTGAAATGTGAGTGGTAACAGTCAGGGTGGGGGAGGAGGACCCGGATACCTCGTGAACGAAGCTATGAAGATGAATAGGGACATGCAAGATAGAGGCAAAATTTCAGATATTTGAAGTTGCAAGGTCAACCTTCAAGCTGGGTAAACACTCTCGATGTTAGAGTAGTAAGGGTCAAGTGGGACAGGAAGGGGCAAATCATCTTGATAGTATGCAACCAACACTTTTGCCATGACTTGGATCGATCACATCATATATATATACCTAAGGAAATACGAAACTGTGTACAGAAAAAAAGAGAGAAAGCACTTGAGCCTTGAGAAATTAACTTTGCGGTTCACGCTGTCACGGTCTCCCATGCCAATACTCTCAGGCTTGTTCAACTTGGTCCGCCTAGTTGAAAAGCCTATGAGAATTAGGAGAACCGAGAAGTTTGCATGCTGTCTATTCAGATGGGAGTGACGTCAACCCAGAAGCGGGTGTCGTCAGACTTGTACTTGGTGTCAGAGTCGATTTGGCTCTGGATCCACTCAACAGACTCGCGATAGAACTTGATATCTTCGGTATTGGGATTGCTCAAGCCGGTAGCGCCGTTACGGTGGCCAGCAAACCACATGTTGTAACCATAATAATTCTGGCAGTCCCATCGGCTGGCTACATCGGCATAGATATCGGAGCTACGAGTTTGTCAGATTGTCAAGCCTAGGCGCTGGCGAGCCAACTGCTACTTACTTCAACTTGGCACCGTTATTCCACTGGTCTTTGGTCTGACCCACGAACCCAGCGCGAGAGGCGCAGACGCGGAGCATACCCCAGTTAACCTTGAAGAGGCCAAAATTGGCGGCATCATCGGTCTTGCCATCACCTAAAAATAGTATTAGTGATGCTCTAATAGTAATCGAGGTTCCAACAGAGAGCCGCTCATGCTCGTATCGTTATGAAATACAGTTTGACTGCGCTCACTCACCGTACTTGTAGTTGGTTTGCATGTTCTCGTCCTCAAGCATAGCAATGGCGATGTCAAGAGTGTTTCCGCCAGCGTTCAAGATAGCTTGCTTGCGAGCACCCAGGCCAGAGACGGTGTAGCGACCACGATCCCCGGGAGCTGCGAGGACAGCGGCAGCGAGGGAAAAGACAGCAATGGCGGTGAAATGCATGGTGAATCTGGTCGAAGGTCGTGGTGTTTGAGAAACGAATGCGAGTACCGTGTAGAGGTAATTGAAGCTCTTTATATCGATAGCTGGAATAAGTAAGAGTAAAAGACTTTGATCATTGCAAGCAGTGCTTTTTATAGCAACTTCATACTTTTCTTGATGATCACCAGACAGGGATATGGCAAGGACGTCAGTTTGACCACTAGACTCAAATTGCCACGGGTGAGCATGTTCCGAGCTCGATCGAGCGACATTCCGTCTGTGGCCTGTCAACCTAGTTAGGAGTCATGTGAGTAGCGGAAATAATTGTGTAGGTTACGGAAGATCTCCTTGTTTCAACGCGGCTATGATCTGTGTCGATGGAACAAAAGGGGCGTGCTTCGACAACCCGAGGCAGCCGGATCCATTGCGACGGAATTCAATGGTGCTAAAATGGGCTAATGGCTTACTTGATCTGTTTTCTTATGAACGAGAATACGGAAGGATGGACGGGTGCCTGGGAAGATCCTAGAATGGGTAAAGCTTATATTGAGGAGTCGCAAGGATCTGACCGGACAGATTCACCCGTTCGCCGAGACGAGGCCAGTTGCGTCCACCGATCTGGAATAGTTTCACCGAATCCTAGCTTGGAACAATTCTCCGGCAGAGAGAGATCCGTTGGCAAGGGTGGCGATGGTTACCTGATACCTAGCTCGATGCAATTTGCTGATGGTGGAGACAACCCGCCGCAGAGGAACCGAGCTTGCCGGCAGTGGCTGCATGATAGCATCACAACGACATTAAATTCACCGCCAGCATAAGGATGGGAGGATCTTTCACTGGCTG